TTGAAACATCTGGCTTGTTTACGCCATAAAGTAATTCCTTGTAGGCTATTATCAGTTTCCCCTCATTGGGCTCTTACACGCTAATACAACCTACAAATCAAATGAGTTGTTACATAATCAGTAACGTGAAATTCGGCTTATGTTCTCCTGTTCTGCACCAACAAGACGGGCATAAGCCACACAAAGTGCTCAGTATACAAAGAAGTTTGTTGTGATGCTCGGGACCAACTCTTTGATTTTACCCCCCCCCCCCCACACACACAAGACTCAATTGCAGGGCCTATTACTCAGGAAATAACCTTTCTATTCGTCCCACCGAACGAGTATAGCTGTTTCTTGACAGGCATTCAGCCCTGCACCACCTTTCTAGGCCAACACCGGGATCAAACGCAGGATCTCCAAGTTAGCAAGCCAGAGCCTTACTTACTGAACAACTTAGACACAAGAAAGATGACAATGTCCAGTCGTGTCTATAGTTGGTGACAGTTATTTCTTGTTATTATTTTTTTTATTACATAATAATGATCCAATAATATAACAATTTTTTGACAATAGAATATTTCAAGTAGATTATAACATGCAAAAATCAACATACAATTCAATAGTAACTGAAACCTGAGAACTGCTTTCTTTTTCAAAAGTGTTTGAGCCAGTAAAAATGAACACACGTTGTTAAAGATGCATTAAAATGTAAGAGGTAAATCTAGCAACAAGAATACATATCTTTAATGAATTACATCATCCAAAATAACCCCAGCATTTGGGTCATCCGTTTGAGGGTTCGGTGGGTGTGTTTGTGACAAATGCCAGAGAACTAAGTTAAATAACTATAATATTGACATTATTTCATTTTGAGCCGGCCCTGGTTTGAACATGGGCGAGTCGACGAGCATTTTCATAGGGGGGGGGGGGGGGTGCGGGGGCAGAATCTGAAATACCCGGAAACATTTCGGGTTACAGACGGCGGCGCCGGTCGACTTAACGTGTAGGGACCACCTCTCACAAGAAAATTTGGGATATGGGTCATTCGATGTCAAGTTGGCCAGGGGTGGGAAATCGCCCCCCTCACAAATAAATCTTGGAAAATATATATGTTATTGTACATGTAGAAACTAGAAGGTGTGCAAAATTTGTAGTTTGTAGCTTGAAAATTGACTGAGATACGTACATTTGAGTTTCATGAGTTACCGATAAGTTTTCGGAACAAAATATGTATCAATAATTTACTCGAGTTTCAGATATATTATTTTTACCTTTCTAGTGAAGATATACAGCTCAAATTTGGTAGTCTTAAAGAAAGAAGTTGTTGTGTAGATTATGAATCTGCTATCAGATTACCACACTGATCCGCAGTGAATATTGGCTAGGTCGCGACATTTAGTAGACTTTCACAATACTCTGTGTAACAGATTGTCAGATTACAGGTGAGTGGTGGCGTTCGCATGCTACGTAGCCATACCCCACCCCCAAAATTTAAAAAAAAAATGGTATAATTGTATGTTTTCCGGATTCTGTAGTGCTCCAGGGGGTATAAAGTAATAGATATAGATCCAAATTTTGGCCTCCAGAGATTGCCTGTAGTACTAAACAAGAAACATAAGAAGACGCATAAGTCTTCACTAGAATCCCAGAAAATTGGCCTCGAATATGGTTTCAGACACAAGGTCAAATTCAACGACAAAAGGTCTTCACTCTTTAAAACACACATGGATGTCAAAAATAAGTGTAGATTTAGAATCCTTGTGGAATTCCCATTCCAGAAATACTTATTCCAGCAATTTTGACATCCTATTGGTTACTGGGTTATGGTTATTTGAATAATGGCGGCCACGCCCATTTTGGCCCAAATCCCAAAATTGGATGAACTCTATCTCAGTAACCGTTAGTCGGAACAAGCTAACATTTGGAATGTCCGTTTTTTTCAGCCCTAATAAGCATAATATACACCAGATTTCAGCAAAATCGAAAGGGGTACGGTTTAACGCATTGGGTGATAATTGGCATGGTATGACACAAAACACAGATTTTGAAAAAATCGAACAAATATCGAGATAGCATGGGACAAGAATGGCTTTAACATATGTTGGAGACATTAGTGCAAACTATAATTACACCACGTTTCAGATTTATAGGTGCTCATCTATCGGGTTCTTTCGGCTCGAAAATACGAGGCAATTTTCGAAAATTTGTGTCTGAAACCATTATTCGAGTCCAATTTTCTGGGGATCTAGTGAAGACTGATGCGTTTTCATATGTTTCTTATTTAGTACTTTCGTTTCTCTCGATAGGCCACCCTATAATCTGATTGCAGATTCGTAATCTACACAAAACGTTCTTTAAGACTACCAAATGTGAGCTCTATATCTTCACTAGAAAGGTAAAAATAAGATTTCTGGAACTCGAGTAAATTATTGATAGGCCTACATATTTTGTTTCGAAAGCTCATCGGTAACTCATGAAAATCAAATGTCTGTATCTCAGTCAATTTTCAAGCTGCAGACCACAAATTTTGCACAGTTTCTAGTTTTTACGTGTAAAATAACATATATTTTTTTCCAAATTTCTAAAAATTGACATGGAGTGACCCATATTCGAAGGCTGTTATTTTAGCCCATGAATACAGCAACTTCAAAGTGATCTAACTAATATAGCCCTAGGTAACTGACCTAAATCCCAAACAACCAATCAATCGTCTCGGGGTATAGCGGGGGGGGGGGGGGGGGGGCTCGCCCAAAATGTCGCACAAAAAAGAGTTGCTCCAGTCAAAATGTTTCAATCTATTAGTCAATTCAGTACATATTTATTGTATTCAATTAAAAGAAAAGTAACATTAGTGTTTTATTTGATTTCGGGCACTTTATTTTGTCAACTAGATGAAATAATAATTTTAGTTTTCATTTTACTCGTCTGCCCGAAAAGTCAGATTGCCCTAAAGTTAAAATGCAAAAATACCATTTCTAAAACTAAACGAAATACCCCAATGAACCAGTTTGACTATCCATGGTATCCCCAAACATCAGTGGTATTGGTCCGTGTCTCCCCGATGTCACTGGGGATACCGAGGATACAATTTGACAAACTCTATATAATGTATGATTTATTAACTATTAGTCTAGAATATATTCAACCATGTAATATACGTGACAATAACATCACTCTTGAACATGTGTCAAATTCGGCGTTGTCTTTACACATTAGCAGGGTTAGTGTTTATGCACGATATTGAATTTTGACTCTCTGGTCAATACTACTACGTCGTTGACCTTGTCTTTGCCTTTTCATTTTCGCCTCTTCGCTTTCTTCTTCTTCGTCGTCAGCGGCAGGTTGAATTAATTGGAAAGGAACAACCTTATCTTCGAAACATCCAAAAATATATCGACCCGGTCCATGAGGTGTTCGACCGATGAGGAAATTGGCAAAGATCTGTTCGTAGCCGTTATAATCTAAACGATAACGTCCACCCTGAAACATTATGTATTTAATTATATAATGCAGATAATATGAGTAGAAAACAAGACCAAAGATAGGTTGCCAGGCAACGAAACATACGCCTACGGTATAGCTAAATCGTCCGGTGGTCGACAAGGGTTCTCACTTATTTATTTTTTTGTAGGTAATTATAGGGATTTACAAGACAATTTCATACAGATCAGATTATAATTTGCGTCGTTTGAGGGTTCACAAGGTTTTACAAACTGAAACAAGGCTCTTAACTCTGGAAGTAATTTACAGATATTATTGAAATTGGACAGGATTTTTCGTTTTACTAATTTAAATAACGTATATAAATTTCATATAGATCATTCGAGTTTTCATAAGATTTAGCAAAGTGAAACAAGGGCCATAAACCTAGAAAATAATAATAGAAATTGCTGAAATTTAAAAGGCTACTTCGTTTCAGTAATTTAAATGATGCATATTAATTTCATACAGGTCGGATGATAACTTTCCTCATTCGAGCATCCACCAAGTTCGACAAAGTGAAACAAGGGCCATAATTCAATGGGATTCTTTGTTTCACTAATTTAAATGATGCATATATATTTCGTACAGACCAGGTGATAACTTTTGTTGTTAGAGCCTTCACATGGTTCAACAAAGTGAACTCTAGGCGTAATTAACAAAGATTGCTGAAATTCCATAGGCTTCTTCGTTTCAGCAATTTAAATGATGTGTATAAATTTCATTCAGATCGGATGATAACTATTAGAGCGTTTACTAGGTTCAACAATGTGAAACAAGGGCCATTACTCCAGAAAAAATTAACGGAAATTATTGAAATTAAATAGGATTTTTCATCTTACTGATGTAAACAACATACACCAATTTCAAAACAATCAGATGATAAATGTACACAAGAAATTGTGGACGACGGACCGACGTACGGATGGGGGCGACGGCGACGACGTTTCTATGTGCGCGTAAAAAAAACGCGAACTAAAAACTGCCTTACTGCATGATATCCTGGGCCCATCAGAAGAACAAATTGCTAAGTGGGATCAGATATTCCGGAAAGGGTAAGCCTAAGCATGTCATATCTGTGCACGTACACGGCAATCATCTCTATCTAGTCTCTAGGGTAAAACTAGATGTAGAAAGTAAACTCACGCAAATTCTCTGTAAAACGCAGACTTTGATTTATTTTGCCCCGGGGGGGGGTGCGGGGGCAGAATCTGAAATACCCGGAAACATTTCGGGTTACAGACGGCGGCGCCGGTCGACTTAACGTGTAGGGACCACCTCTCACAAGAAAATTTGGGATATGGGTCATTCGATGTCAAGTTGGCCAGGGGTGGGAAATCGCCCCCCTCACAAATAAATCTTGGAAAATATATATGTTATTGTACATGTAGAAACTAGAAGGTGTGCAAAATTTGTAGTTTGTAGCTTGAAAATTGACTGAGATACGTACATTTGAGTTTCATGAGTTACCGATAAGTTTTCGGAACAAAATATGTATCAATAATTTACTCGAGTTTCAGATATATTATTTTTACCTTTCTAGTGAAGATATACAGCTCAAATTTGGTAGTCTTAAAGAAAGAAGTTGTTGTGTAGATTATGAATCTGCTATCAGATTACCACACTGATCCGCAGTGAATATTGGCTAGGTCGCGACATTTAGTAGACTTTCACAATACTCTGTGTAACAGATTGTCAGATTACAGGTGAGTGGTGGCGTTCGCATGCTACGTAGCCATACCCCACCCCCAAAATTTAAAAAAAAAATGGTATAATTGTATGTTTTCCGGATTCTGTAGTGCTCCAGGGGGTATAAAGTAATAGATATAGATCCAAATTTTGGCCTCCAGAGATTGCCTGTAGTACTAAACAAGAAACATAAGAAGACGCATAAGTCTTCACTAGAATCCCAGAAAATTGGCCTCGAATATGGTTTCAGACACAAGGTCAAATTCAACGACAAAAGGTCTTCACTCTTTAAAACACACATGGATGTCAAAAATAAGTGTAGATTTAGAATCCTTGTGGAATTCCCATTCCAGAAATACTTATTCCAGCAATTTTGACATCCTATTGGTTACTGGGTTATGGTTATTTGAATAATGGCGGCCACGCCCATTTTGGCCCAAATCCCAAAATTGGATGAACTCTATCTCAGTAACCGTTAGTCGGAACAAGCTAACATTTGGAATGTCCGTTTTTTTCAGCCCTAATAAGCATAATATACACCAGATTTCAGCAAAATCGAAAGGGGTACGGTTTAACGCATTGGGTGATAATTGGCATGGTATGACACAAAACACAGATTTTGAAAAAATCGAACAAATATCGAGATAGCATGGGACAAGAATGGCTTTAACATATGTTGGAGACATTAGTGCAAACTATAATTACACCACGTTTCAGATTTATAGGTGCTCATCTATCGGGTTCTTTCGGCTCGAAAATACGAGGCAATTTTCGAAAATTTGTGTCTGAAACCATTATTCGAGTCCAATTTTCTGGGGATCTAGTGAAGACTGATGCGTTTTCATATGTTTCTTATTTAGTACTTTCGTTTCTCTCGATAGGCCACCCTATAATCTGATTGCAGATTCGTAATCTACACAAAACGTTCTTTAAGACTACCAAATGTGAGCTCTATATCTTCACTAGAAAGGTAAAAATAAGATTTCTGGAACTCGAGTAAATTATTGATAGGCCTACATATTTTGTTTCGAAAGCTCATCGGTAACTCATGAAAATCAAATGTCTGTATCTCAGTCAATTTTCAAGCTGCAGACCACAAATTTTGCACAGTTTCTAGTTTTTACGTGTAAAATAACATATATTTTTTTCCAAATTTCTAAAAATTGACATGGAGTGACCCATATTCGAAGGCTGTTATTTTAGCCCATGAATACAGCAACTTCAAAGTGATCTAACTAATATAGCCCTAGGTAACTGACCTAAATCCCAAACAACCAATCAATCGTCTCGGGGTATAGCGGGGGGGGGGGGGGGGCTCGCCCAAAATGTCGCACAAAAAAGAGTTGCTCCAGTCAAAATGTTTCAATCTATTAGTCAATTCAGTACATATTTATTGTATTCAATTAAAAGAAAAGTAACATTAGTGTTTTATTTGATTTCGGGCACTTTATTTTGTCAACTAGATGAAATAATAATTTTAGTTTTCATTTTACTCGTCTGCCCGAAAAGTCAGATTGCCCTAAAGTTAAAATGCAAAAATACCATTTCTAAAACTAAACGAAATACCCCAATGAACCAGTTTGACTATCCATGGTATCCCCAAACATCAGTGGTATTGGTCCGTGTCTCCCCGATGTCACTGGGGATACCGAGGATACAATTTGACAAACTCTATATAATGTATGATTTATTAACTATTAGTCTAGAATATATTCAACCATGTAATATACGTGACAATAACATCACTCTTGAACATGTGTCAAATTCGGCGTTGTCTTTACACATTAGCAGGGTTAGTGTTTATGCACGATATTGAATTTTGACTCTCTGGTCAATACTACTACGCCGTTGACCTTGTCTTTGCCTTTTCATTTTCGCCTCTTCGCTTTCTTCTTCTTCGTCGTCAGCGGCAGGTTGAATTAATTGGAAAGGAACAACCTTATCTTCGAAACATCCAAAAATATATCGACCCGGTCCATGAGGTGTTCGACCGATGAGGAAATTGGCAAAGATCTGTTCGTAGCCGTTATAATCTAAACGATAACGTCCACCCTGAAACATTATGTATTTAATTATATAATGCAGATAATATGAGTAGAAAACAAGACCAAAGATAGGTTGCCAGGCAACGAAACATACGCCTACGGTATAGCTAAATCGTCCGGTGGTCGACAAGGGTTCTCACTTATTTATTTTTTTGTAGGTAATTATAGGGATTTACAAGACAATTTCATACAGATCAGATTATAATTTGCGTCGTTTGAGGGTTCACAAGGTTTTACAAACTGAAACAAGGCTCTTAACTCTGGAAGTAATTTACAGATATTATTGAAATTGGACAGGATTTTTCGTTTTACTAATTTAAATAACGTATATAAATTTCATATAGATCATTCGAGTTTTCATAAGATTTAGCAAAGTGAAACAAGGGCCATAAACCTAGAAAATAATAATAGAAATTGCTGAAATTTAAAAGGCTACTTCGTTTCAGTAATTTAAATGATGCATATTAATTTCATACAGGTCGGATGATAACTTTCCTCATTCGAGCATCCACCAAGTTCGACAAAGTGAAACAAGGGCCATAATTCAATGGGATTCTTTGTTTCACTAATTTAAATGATGCATATATATTTCGTACAGACCAGGTGATAACTTTTGTTGTTAGAGCCTTCACATGGTTCAACAAAGTGAACTCTAGGCGTAATTAACAAAGATTGCTGAAATTCCATAGGCTTCTTCGTTTCAGCAATTTAAATGATGTGTATAAATTTCATTCAGATCGGATGATAACTATTAGAGCGTTTACTAGGTTCAACAATGTGAAACAAGGGCCATTACTCCAGAAAAAATTAACGGAAATTATTGAAATTAAATAGGATTTTTCATCTTACTGATGTAAACAACATACACCAATTTCAAAACAATCAGATGATAAATGTACACAAGAAATTGTGGACGACGGACCGACGTACGGATGGGGGCGACGGCGACGACGTTTCTATGTGCGCGTAAAAAAAACGCGAACTAAAAACTGCCTTACTGCATGATATCCTGGGCCCATCAGAAGAACAAATTGCTAAGTGGGATCAGATATTCCGGAAAGGGTAAGCCTAAGCATGTCATATCTGTGCACGTACACGGCAATCATCTCTATCTAGTCTCTAGGGTAAAACTAGATGTAGAAAGTAAACTCACGCAAATTCTCTGTAAAACGCAGACTTTGATTTATTTTGCCCCGAATTTGTTCCCTGGGTATAATTCTAAGATGCCTATTGTAACTAGGAATTTATAGGCTACCCAAGCAGGATAACATATAATATAAACAGACAGTAATTTGTTTACCGGCAGCATATTCCCGAAGCAATGGCCCGAGAAATCCCCTTTAGCCATTGCTGTATTTAGTCTGTTAATTTGAGTCTTTGACGGAGCGTGTCCATTCTCATCGTCCAATCAAATCTCTCTTGAGTAAAATATAGGGAATTTTCATGACTTAACAGGGGTGACCTCTTTTTAAAAAACCTAGTGTTTGTTAGTGATGATTTCAAGTAAAATTTTACCCTTGGATGCATCGGGAACAAACATCGATACTCGCATAGGTAAATTTGGCCGTCGCTGAAACTCGCTATTGGAACGAAAACTCTTTGGCTCAAATCTCCGATATAAATTCTATAAACGTGTACCAGTTATTATTGCCTTAAATATGCGATAATATTTATTCATTTTTGTGAAGAAAATCCATGAATTATCTATTTCTAGCCAGTTTGTTGAAACATAATACGTAAAATAACAGCCCATCTCTTTGATCTGATGTGTGGTCCAAGAGATGCTGAAACATTCCACGTGCACGGCGATTACCAAGTGTTTATATTGTAACTATTTTGGATAGCCTCGTTTATCACACAATTAGTTTCTCTGCAATATTCTGTTATGTACTATATGGTTAATTTAGCGTAATACATTTCGCGCGTTCTGACACTTTACGTAACATATTTAGAGCTCTGGTTACTCCCGATTGATTTTGTTACGTCGTTATGTACTGGTTGTTGATCGGACTGTTAACCAGTCATAATTTGGGACAGAAATTCGCTCTGAGTATGGCAGTGTTTGAGTGGGATAAGGTCTAATCAAACGAAACAGTGCGAGGAGTATGACCGGCAGTGACATATAAATTCCAGACGAAATAAATACAAACTTAGCTTTCCTTACATGTGGATAAACAACTTTTGAAATTGACAAGGCATTGGAGCCGGGCATGAAAAATCTATAAAAATCCCAGACTGCATTACCACCAGGAAAGGGATGGGCTAACACAGATGAATGGTTATTTTTAGACATCACACTCTTCCTCTCTATGACATTATGGGGCTGAGTATGCCGGCCGCGGAATGGGAAAGGCAATTTCTTTCTAGAATCTTCAAATTCCAACTCACAGAGATTCAGACTAGCAGGATCGAGTCTATACTTACATCCGTCATCTGCTCCATGCCTTTGAGGGCTCGAGCTATTGATACTTCGGGTGATAAACCAACCATATTCTGATAGAAATGCGCCATTTCCTCAGCATCTATCTCGTCATCCTCTACAAATACAGTAATCAACAATAATTAGATGAGTGACACGAGAGCGACACGCATGCCAAATCTCGCATAACGTAACATCCAACGTAACGTGGTGGTACTCAAACACTAAAGATAGGTTGCCTGGTTAAATCGTCCGGGCAGACAACAATGAAACATTTATAATACACTAAAATCTGATTAAGTAATTATCAGAAAATCATTAGAATTTGTTTGACCCATGCTAACGTTTAGTAGGCTATACAAAACATTTAATATCATGGATTTAGCCGTTCAAGTTATCAAAAATCATTGAAAATAAATATACTTGTTCATCTCCAAACCTTAAACTCTGTGTATCAATCTAAAGTCAATCGAAACGATTATATGTAGGCCTTAACACGGTATGGTGGTCCTTATTTTGCAAACTTTTGAAAAGTTAAGGGGCTACCCTCAATTTATGTTGAGAAAAAATGAAAAAAATAAACAAAAAAATAAAAAAAAAATATTTAGAGGAAAATTCGATCAAAATTCGAAGAAAATGTGACTTTTTGGCAATTTTTAGTTTATTTTTAAAGAAAAAAGGTATACATGAAAAGAAATGTTGTTTCTTGGTTAATTAGACTGTGAACAAAACAAACTAATATTTATAAAGCTACACAAGTTATTCCAATGTGTACACGGGACCTTGGTTGTTCGTCCCATCCGAACGACTATACAGCTGTCCTTGTCAGGCCCTCTGTCCTGCATCACGGACAAGAGGGAATCACGCTGGAAAATCTGGATGAACTTTCTCGGCCAATGCAGGGATCGAACACCCGACCTCCAGGCTAGCAAGCCAGCTCATACCCACTTAGCCACCGTGACCCCACTATAAAAGTGACTTTCAAAGGTGAATATTAAAACTTGTATTGCAGAGATTAAAATTTGGATGAACAACAATTTTTGTAAAACTTAGTGCAGATAAGACAGATTATTTGGTTATTGGGTCTTCTTTAAACAGGAAAAATTTAAACTTTGATCTATCCATACAAGCAGGAGATGATGCATTGTCACTTCCCAGAAAGCCAGAAAGCCAGAAATATTGGTGCAATGTTTAATTTTTTGGGAAAATAACAAACAATATCTGTAGAATAAGTTATTTTGGTAAAATACGTAAATATTAATACACTAATAAATTATAAATTCATTAGTTATTTCTCGCATAGATTCTTTTAATTCTGTACTTTATGGGATAACTATGGAAGCCTATAACTACCATTCATAATTTCTACTTTTCGCCTCTTCAGAACGCGAAAGTCGAAAAGTCGAAAAGTAGAAGTTGCGACAAAATGTTAGGCGACAACACGCTATACAAGCCAAAATCAACTTGAAAATAGGAAATTAAGAAATATTACACCGCGATAATAACGCCCCTCGTTTTTTCCTAATTTCTAATTTTCGACTTGCATTTTGGCTTGTATACCGTCTTGTCGACTTTCGACTTAGTCATATTTTTGTATTTATTGATGTCAATAAGAAGGCGCCAACACGCATACCAAGCCAAAATGCAACTCGAAAAGTAGAAAATAGGAAATAAACACACGCGCTATTAGCGACCTATCATTTTGGCTTGCTGTCGTATTGGCGACTTTTCAATACACATGTCTCAGACCTTAAACACTGTGTATCAACCTTAAGTCAATCGAAACGATTATATATAGGCGTAAACATGGCGTATAAATATAAAATCAATCAGATGACTCTGGCAGTAATTATCGAAAATCATGACCTTTAACACTGTGTATAAATTTAAAGTCAATCGGATATTAATTTTAGCCTCTAGAGCGCCCACAAGCAATTGTGGACGTCGGACCGACTGTCCGTAAATATACGTCCACATTTCAATTTGGGCGTATAAAATGTCTGGCGGTACCCATTTATGCTATGTTAGAAACAAGAGCATCGCTAACGCTGCAATATACGTCCACATTCCAGCTTTGATTGATATATGGTACTTTTTAAAATGAAGAGAATGAAATATGAAATTGCTGTAATATGATCAGAGGCAAAGAAGGCTAGGCGTCGGGTTTGTTTTGCCAAATATCCAGAAAAATACTAACAATAAAGTGGGTGTGGCACTGCCCCAGGAGGTCGGGGCAAGCATCAAAATAAATAGTTGCTGTCTTTATGGTATAAGGAATAAATATGCAAAGTTCCAAGATGATCCATTCAGAATTGCAGCATGTAGACTATAAATACAAAAACTGGGCATGGCTCTGCCCGTTGGGGTTGGATATGGAAACAATATAAATAGGTACCATCCTGTTATTGAAATGACAACATCAATAGTTGCCATCCTTAGGGTATAAGGAATAAGTATACCAAGTTCCAAGATAATCCATTCAGAATTGTGGCCTTTGGGTGTTAAAGGCAAAAATTGGGCGTGGCTCTGCCCCGGGGGGTTGGGGCATTCACCAAAATCAATAGTTGATGCCCTTAGGCTATAAGGAATACAAATGCCAAGTACCAAGTTGATCCATTCAGAATTCCGGCCTGTAAATGATATAAACATAAAAATTGGGCGTGGCTCTGCCCCTGGGGGTCGTGATATGCAGTTGTCGTCTTTGGTTATAAGGAATACATATCCCAAGTTCAAAGACAATCCATAAAGAATCGTGGCCTGTAGGCAACTCACAGAGACACAAAGAAAAAATGGGTGTCGCTCTGCCCCTGGGGGTTGGGCAATCACCAAAAAACAATTGGGGGCATCCTTAGGGAAAAGGAATAGGTATGCAAAGTTTCAAAAGGAAATGTTAAGAATTGCGGCCTGTAGGCGACACAAAAGGCACACAAATTTTGGGCGTGGCTCTGTCTCAGGGGGTCGGGCAAGCACCAATAATAATAGAGGTCAGCCTTAGGGTATAAGGAATAAGTATAAAAAAGTTTTCAAGACGATCGATTAAGCATTGCAGGCTGTAAGTGACATACAGACACACAAAAAGAAAATGGGCGTGGCTCTGTCCCTGGGGGCTGGGCATTCACCACAAACAATAGGGATGTTCCTTAGGATAGAAGGAGTAAGTATGCAAAGTTTCAAGGTGATACGCTAAGAAATGCAGTCTGTAGATGACAAACAATGAATAAAAGAAATGGGCGTGGCTCTGCCACTGGGGGTCGGGCATGCACCAAAAACAATAGGGATCATCCTTAGGGTATAAGGAATTTATATGAAATTTTTTCAAGACGATCGATTAAGAATTGTGGCCTGTAGGCAACACACAGACACACAAAAAGAAAATGGGCATGGCTCTGCCCCTGGGGGTTGGGCATGGACCCCAAACGATAGGGATGTTCCTTAGGTTACAAAGAATAAGTATGCAAAGTTTCGAGATGATGCGTTAAGAAATGCGGCCTGTAGACGACAAACAAACAAATACAAGAAATAGGCGTGGCTCTGCCCCTGGGGATCGGGCATGCACCCAAAATAATAGGGATCATCCATAGGGTATAAGAAATAAGTACGTAAAGTTTCAAGATGATCACTTAAGAAATGTGACGTGCAGGCGACACACAGACACACAAAAAGAAAATGGGCATGGCTCTGCCCCTGGGGGTTGGGCATGCACCCCAAACTATAGGGATGTTCCTTAGGGTACAAAGAATAAGTATGCAAAGTTTCAATATGATACTTAAGAAATGCGGCCTGTAGATGACAAACAAATAAATACAAAAAATGGGCGTGGCTCTGCCCCTGGGGGTCGGGCATGCACCAAAAACAATAGGGATCTTCCTTGGGGTATAAGGAATAAGTATACCAAGTTTGAAGAAAATCCAGTAAGAATTGCGCCCTGTAGGCGACACAAAGACACACGAAAAGAAAATGGGAAATGGGCGTGGCTCTGCCCCTGGGGGTTGGGCATGTACCCCAAACGATAGGGATGTTCCTTAGGGTACAAAGAATGTGTATGCAAGATTATAAGTTAAGAAATGTGGCCTGTAGACGACAAACAAACAAATACTAGAAATGGGCGTGGCTCTGCCCCTGGGGGTCGGGCATGCACCAAAAACAATAGGGATCTTCCTTGGGGTATAAGGAATAAGTATACCAAGTTTGAAGAAAATCCAGTAAGAATTGCGCCCTGTAGGCGACACAAAGACACACGAAAAGAAAATGGGCGTGGCTCTGCCCCTGGGGGTTGGGCATGCACCCCAAACGATAGGGATGTTCCTTAGGGTACAAAGAATGTGTATGCAAAGTTTCAAGATTATTAGTTAAGAAATGTGGCCTGTAGACGACAAACAAACAAATACTAGAAATGGGCGTGGCTCTGCCCCGGGGGGTCGGGCATGCACCAAAAACAATAGGGATCTTCCTTGGGGTATAAGGAATAAGTATACCAAGTTTGAAGAAAATCCATGAAGAATTGCGCCCTGTAGGCGAACCACAGACACACACACACACACACACACACACACACACACATACATACATACACACACACACACACACAGACAGGGGCGACGGCATAATACGTTCACATTATGAATGTGGACGTATAAAAAGGGATATTTTGGAACATGTTTCAAACGGTTCGTTGCTAAGCATGTCTAGTTCATTTCTACTTCTTCCCATGGCCCCCACAGCCACACACACACTAACAGGTGCATGCCAGTCCATATTTATGTATGTCTGCTAGAATCTACTTATATCACCACAACACAACACTGACAATTGGTTCGCTTTTCAGCTAACAAAACCGCTGTCCGGCCAAAACTTCATATCTTGCTTTGAAAACGTCCCCATATTGAAATTAACATGAGTTAGTCTCGAAATGACCGAAGTATTCTGTTGACGAGGCCTTAATCCTCATCACAGGAGCTGTATTGTGGAGATTCTTTAAACTGAACCAACCTTTATAGTCTATCATTTTAAAGAGTATATAGGGCAGACGTCGTAACCAGATGGGAAAATTTCCCATTCCTTTACATCCGGGTAAAAGATTATTCCAGATATCAAACCATTCTTTTAACATTATTTTACCTGAAAAATAAATAGATACAGTTGAACTTCGTTTTGTTAAACTTGTATTTTATTCCGAAAAACAATGTTTCAGTAAGCCGTGGTGTCGAAAGTTTTTTTTCGATCTTGAACATTATGTTACTCCAAATCAGAGGCGAAAGAGAGAGAGAGAGAAATGGTTTTTAACGTCCACTCGACACAAACTCAAATCAGAGGCACTTTCAATATCAATATAATAAATCAACAGTCATGCGTTAAAGGTCAAAATAATTTAGAGTCAATTTTAGAAGTGTCATCAGTGGGCTGAATGGTCGTATTTGCTTCACATTTCCTTTCCATCTAGAATTAAAATTATTTATGTCGTAGCGGGCTTATTAGCCTATAATGAGGAATAGGGTATGTCATTGATTGAAGTCGCTTCGAACCCAAACTTGTACTAGGTGGTATATTGCTTTAATTATTACCTCCCGTGTTTTCCTTTGTGGCCTTTTCTCTCATCACCTCAAAAAATACATGATGTACTTCATAACATTCCTTAGCCTTCGCACTATTTTTTTCCCAACCAGTAAATTCTAATATTTTCTGTAAAAGAAAACTGTCTGAAATGAATGGGGGTTTACCATGTTACTTTCCACACCAAACGGAATAGAAGGTGGGCAGGCGCCACTCTTAGTACTATGGGGAAATGTTTACCAGATAACAATCTGATTAAAATACAGATCTATATATTTCGTTTCGTTATTCATACTTTCGATGGCCTACACTACATGAAGATCGGACCGGTTGTAATGGCCGGTTGCGTCAGGTGATACGAGCGGCTTTTGATCCTATAACGCCAGACATTGATTATTAATCAACCACCGTTAACGTTTCTTGTGGTTTACTCACAATTCCGTGCACAGTACGCCAAGAACTCGCCGTAACAGACCGCTTCATTAGCTAATACATCCCTCACATTACCAGACCGCAGCTTATATAACAACTCTTCAAGATCCTAGTGATAGGGAAGACAGGTAAAACGAAATTTTGAACTATAAAAACGAAATGAAATAGTATCTTTGTTTTAATCAATATGGGCTAGATAACGTTAATTCTAGGAATTACAGCTGTCAGGTGTTATTATATAATCTCGGTGTCTTGTACGACCCGAAAGATCAGGCACACGGCATTGCCATACCCCACACCACTGTAACCAGGCAGGCCAATCTCAAGAACTTTCACGGCAAGCGCCGGAATCCCTCCCCCCCCCCTCAACCTACTTCCTCACCGAGTCAGCATCAAATTCACGGGGGCAAACCAATTGTCCCATTATTACCGCAGATGCCATGTTCGGTAAGTGCCACGAGTTCACACGACAGAGCCCACGTCATATTCCTAAAGCAATGGCCCGAGAAATCCCCCTCTGCCCATTGCTGGATTGGCTTCTGATATCGAGCTTTTGAGGGAGTGTGCCTATTCTTTCCGTTCAATCAAATCTATACCCAGTACAGCAACATGAGGTCTTACGTATGTTTACAAATCTCTTATCAACATATGACTGATGGGAAAGTGTCGTATGTTCAAGGTCAAACAATATCGGCGACATTAGCACATGGCTTAGTCCTTAATGCTAGATTCCCACTGTCGTGCGATACGTTATGCTACGTGCAGATACGTTCCGATGCGTTTCAAAACAATCAACACAATTACTACGACTGACCTCAATATATATGATAAGACCCGATAGGATCACCACGATTACTCCACGATTAAACCGCGAAGCGGACTGCCCTATATATGCAAATCAATAAACACGGGGCTTTTCGGTGAAAATTTCAATGAAAGTACGATATTAGTACCCGAACTATTGTAAAAAAAAATATAAACAACCCTGTGATGAGGCAGTTTTTTTTTTTTAATTGCATAATGTTGTTTATTCATTTATGCACGTTATCTGAACTAGGTATGATTAATTTAAAACCACCGATCGTCATTTACATTTTCGGACTATTTATTTTTCATGGCTTATTCCACGATCAAACGTACTCAAAATTAAAGTGGCTAAATCGACAATATTTGGGACCTAGAAATTGACACAAATAGGTCGCAACGCATATAATAATGTAATATGATGTATATAAACTGACTTACATTCAATCGTTTCGGTTTTTACTAAAATTCCTAATCAATTATGTTCGGCGAAATACGCCATAAGTCTCAATCGAATGGTAATTTCTAGCGTCTGGTTATTCCAGTCTACAACCGATAGTATTTATTGCACATTCTCTCCAAAAAAGAATATGACGTTACCGTTTGACATGACTTGTGAAATAATGTCTAGCCTCGTTCTTTCAGTCCCTTGTTACAAATGGCGCTGAAATGCATTATGGTACACGTTCGTGTACCAATGGTAAAATGTTTATTCTGTCTTAAATATTGGATATCAGAAGCCCATCTTTTCCCGGTAAGATTACAACATCAATGTTGATTTAAATTGACAAATAATTCGTGTTTTCAATGTCGAAGACTTTGGATGATATTGAGATATAGAGTAAGTTAAATTAAAGATGCATTCCACGAAAGTATTATATTGTTATTCCCATAAAGAAAGAGAGAAAGAGAGAAATGGGATTTAACGTCCACTCGACACAGACTAGGTCATTTGGGACTAACATATGGTTCAATTTTATTTCAATAATTCGCTTGCGCGTAAGGCCGGTCTTTACCAGTTTGGACAGGCGACTCTACTCCTTGTCACGCACAACAGGGGAATATTCCAATAAAAATATGACAAATTTGGTATAACATGGAAAGTATAGACAACCAGTCTAGAATGGCTATTATAACCGTTGTGAGAACAGCGAGGCTGCGAAAAATCGACGAAAGAGAATTTACTTACGCTTTAATATCTATGGTAAATAAACAGTAACGACCAATACATTCTGCAAATGCCCATCTCTACTTTATTGAAGTCACGTGACAAACAAGGCTGGTTATATTTTTACGACTCTAGGTAGTTCTTGGGATTAAAATGTTTCGAGAGGAATTTCAAGCAAACTTTTTATAGATAAATATGTTTTTAGTTCAAATATATCACCAAATCACACAGTTTGTTCCCACCCGACACGCCCGAATTGGAGCACATAACTAGTATTGCAGCCCCATACATACGGTGTAAAATTGACACTGCTATGATAACCCTTCCCCATGCATCTTTATGTGTAAATGCAGTAAACACTTTAGGGGTGTAGTCGATCCAAAACAGACCCTTTAACGTCCACTTGTTGGATGTAGCTCTTTTAGTTGGTAACACTAATTGTAGAAGCCTCAAGTTTTAAAAACGCCTAAGGTATGTTGTACATTAATAATTTTCAACGCCTAAAGCCTTTAATTACACTCATTTTAGCAGTGTGCTTATTTTCATTTTACTCAACTCTAACATAAATATAATAAACGTTTCGTCAGTACATTAATTTTAGTAAAATTATACAATTGAATGACATGCTAAAATTTCTTAAGCACACCTACGAATGATTTGTCATGACATTGAGATAAATTTGTCAAATAAATGTGTCAATTACTGACACTTGTCTTGTCAAATCAAATTTAAAACAACTCATATTCAAACATTATTTGGTTTTGTAGTACTGTGCTCCGAATCACAAACGGGCGTGTATATTTTTGTATAGCTTATTTTTTAATCTCTCAGTCCACAGAAGAGGTTCATTCATCATCATACAGGAATCAATATCAGTAGTGTGCGAATATTAGGGACCTTTCAAATCGGTACGAAAACGAATACGAAAACGAAAGCGTCATCGATTCGTGTGTACTTGTGACGTCAATCCGTAATGAGTGTTCGGCCAGTGAAAAACGTTACGCGTATGGAGCTGGATTTACGTAGGTATGCAAACGAATATGTTTCTTGTCTCATATATTGAATTTTCCACCATTTTTCGAGGCTTTGTGTATATTGTTCATTTTTTAGAGTTCGTAGAATGTGCTCAACAGCAATATTCTGTTTGATTTGTTGTACATCTGCCAAAAAATCTATTGAAAACTTTGCCTTGACCGAGAAGTTCATTGAGTGGAAATTAACGCGATCTAGCTATTATCGTACGTCGGATTGCGAAACGGCGTGTAAGAGGATACGAAAACGAAAACGTAAAGGAACATATGTTCGTTTTGGTGTTCGTTTTCGTACCGATGCGAAAGATCCCTATTAATAGAAACATACCTTATGCGCAATTCAAAATGCGTAATATGGAGGGATAGTCATTTCTGTGGCAAGAAACATCCTAACAATTTCTTTCTATAATTATGCTAAACCACCAACTACTACCGCAAGATTGGCAAATTGCACTGAAAACAAGATTATTATATTTTTTGTACCAAACCCACAGGTGTTGACAAAGTGTGCCAGGCGCCTGGTTATGGTACAAAAGTCAATATTTTACATAAATCTTTCAAGCAATAAATTGAGGATTATAGCCTAAATACGTACGTTCATAACAACATCAAGATCCTCCATTTCCAAACATTTATTACCATCAGCATCTGTTGAAGAACATATACGACACATTTAACTCCAATAAGGTCATCACTTGGAAACTAATTATCATAAATCCTTTAAATTCCATATAATATATTATTTATGATAACAAAAAGTAATAATACAAATATCGGATGATAAATATTGTAACGAGTGTTCACAAGAAATTTTAGAAGACTGATAAGCTAAGTGGCATGTATAGGTTTGTTGATGCCCGGGACAAACCCATTGAGTGTATGTCCAAAAGACTCAAGTATACGGCCTAGTACCCAGGATATGACAAAGGAAGACATAAATATTATTATGCAATCAGGTGAAAGTTGTGACCTCTAGAGTGTCTAAAAGCTAAAAACGTGAAATATCGTACAATCAGGGGCCATAATCCATGAATTTATGGTCCGATACGCCCCAATATCGAAATGAACAGAGATCTTTGGGAGACAGACCCGTATATCAAGTTTCGTCAAAATCGGATAAAAATTGTGACCTGCAGAGTGTCCACAAACAAATTGTGGACGGACAAGGGAGACGGTATAATATAAAACAGTCTGTACAACAAAGTTAGAAGCGATAATGTCACATTTGGATGCCCGCGGCCATCGACCCCAACCCCACACCCCACCCAGACCCCGCTCCCATCACGCAACTTCAACGATATACGACCGAAGTGCCACTTCATTAATTCATCCACTTCGGCATAGACATAATATATTTACCGAAGAAATTAAAGTAATACTCTAATTTATCTTTCTGAAACTGTGTGAGGAATACTTGTGCTTTCGGCATCTTTACTTCTTGTCTTTAAAGTACTGTAAACAAAAACAAAAATGTAAATGTAAAGTAACAGTATTATAGAAAAAACAAAGCCACGATCATTTCATCCAAAACTGTCTCCACTGTCAGGGAAAAATATCAGTCTGGAAAAAAATAACGTAAACATTTGTGTACCTGATCATTGGTGGAGACATTTCCCGTAATTTTTTAAAATTATAATCTCGCCAACAATCACGTGCCCTAACCTTATTTACATCTCAGTGACCTTGACGAAAAGATCTAGCCATCCGTGAACGGTTAAAAGCTAAGGTCCATTGCAGATATCGTCATAGGTCAATAGATGTAAATAGGGTTAGGATAAGAATTAGGGTGAGAGGTATATGCCTAGGCCTAACCCTAAATCTCTTTAGAAGAATAAAGGGTAAATTGGGCCCAAGTCAAGTCTCCTAAAAAGGGTTGGGGTTAGGGTTGGTATTCCCCAAGTAGACTCATTAATATGCGGCGACCATGCTTGACTCAACTTGAGTCCAATTTACCATTGACCATTTTTAAACGCTGGCATATATACAGTGTGACACGGCAATAAACAAGTATCAGTTTATTCAACTATAAATGGTCAAAGATCACATTATTGCTTTTTTTTCATACACTGTTATTTAAAACATTGTGTTACTAACCTATATTTACACATATATGAGGGGGGGGGGGTTGGATGGCTGAATGGTTAGCGTGAGCGCGCTATATCATAAAGTCTGTCATTGAGTCGACTGGCGTGGTTTCGAATCCCCGGTTGTACGTGGCAAGGAGTAGGGTCGCCTGTCCAACCTCGTGGGTTTTCTCCGGGGCCTCCGGTTTCCTCCCACTGCTAAAGACCCCTACGCGCAAGCGAATTATGTAAATAAAATTTTAAAAACATATGTTAGTCCCGAAATGACCTAGTTTGTGTCGAGTGGACGTAAAACCCCATTTCTCTCTCTCTTTTTACACATATATGAAATATATGAAGCGAGTTCTCTAAACGAGTTACCTAACTCTTATAATACCCTTTCCGTAATCATTTCAGGACTCAAACTTTTCAGACAAGGCTGTTTCTTCAACTTCTGGCGTTAGATTTACAACACACCCACTGGCGTTAGATTTACAACACACCTAACGTACGTTAACTCCCATTTGTCGGAGACCCAATGAAAAACGGAATTATACCTTTAATGGTATAACTATTACGAAAAAAGTGTGGATTTTATACTATTGGTGTAACCTGTAATATTTTTCATAATATCGCCCCGCTTGACATTTGATAGGTCAAATGTAAAAACCTGGTGGCGCAAATCTGTAAAATTAATGGAAGTTATTAACTTAGACGTATACATGTTTCCACATTAATTATCCTGCGTTTGAACAACTTGGGGTACGAGTGTACTATGGCCAGGAACCATGGAGGTGTATATATACACATCTATGCCAGGAATCCAGTGACACCGGTTAAATCTGTTAAGAACAGCTTAATCTTCGTCAAGGTCGCTGAGATATAAAATAAGGTTAGGGCAGGTGATTGGTGACGAGATTGTAGGTTAGGGTTAGGGTCAGCGTTGTGGCTTGGTCCAGGATTAGGGTTGGCATTAGCGCTAGCCCTGTTTACCTTTGACCAAACTTGAAGTTGGCCTTATCAAATAGATCTAACCCAGTGGCACCATCGAGGCCATCTTGGGATTGTGACGTCATACCAAAATTTCAAAGAAACAAGTCGTATGTCGATTAGATAGTGATTGAATTGGCGGAGCCCTGGGCTTTTTTCGAAGAGCGTCGGCCCCAAGAAGAACAACAAGAACAACAAGGCGAATAGCGCCTTGGGCCCTGTTCCCTTCTCCAAAAATATCATATTCGCAACTGACGGTCTAAGACAGATTTGTGTTTTAATGTTTTGCAAACAATTTTATTTGTACATGACAAATCAAATTCAATAGTCAAATCAAGACAAATAGAAATTTTATTTTTTACCAACCACATAAAAACCCATCAATAACGCTAGGGAATCTTTAAATTAAAAAACGTTGTAACCGATAAAAAACAAGGCGACAACTTCAGTTAATAAACCCAATAAATTTGTTTCCAAAGAATGCTACAAGGCTGGTGACCTCATTATTATATAAACCGATGTCTTTCGCGTACTTTAAAGATAGTTTCCCGCCTACAGACTGTGTTGTTTGGTGATATATTTGGACTATAAACATATTCAAACTAATTATTCTATCAAAAAATTGCTTCAAATACCTCTCAAAACTTTGTATTCGCGGGGAGATACCCCAAGCTATAAAAATCTGTCTTTTTCTTAGAAGCCATTTTTACCACCTAACTTGATTGAGGGAGGGTTCATTTTTACCGTCATTTAATTAGAGTCTGTTACACGTTTACAATCCTCAATGTTCCCAAAACCGTCTAACCAATACGCCGTCGGACATGTTTGCCCAGTGCTGGCCCCATAAGTGTTTTTCGGGTAATCCAGTATTTTCTTTTAGTAGGATTGGGCGTATATACTTTCCATATATACCAAATTTGCCATACTTTTATTGGAAATAACCAGCCGATAAATACTTTCGTGACAATGTATCTTTAACATAGTATTCATTGGAAATGCATGCACTGTTTGATTCACTGTGATTTATCAGTGCAGTAAATTATAGAGAAATTATAGAGGGGTCTATTTATATTGGATTCAAAGCCTGTCACATTAGCCCTAGACAAACCTTGACAGTGCATTTATATAATAATTTATTTTATTTTTATTTATTTGATATATTATGGACATCATATATTGACAATAAATACCTGTGGGAGACGAGCATACACGAAATGACATATTACTGGCTGCCTAAAATGATAATGTTTTCGTTGACAACTTAATGATTAAATTTATTAACTGATAAAGTATCGACAATTATTGTTATTTTTAAAAGAATACTTTCTAGGTAATGGCGTGTGAGATTGAGATCTGTTTCTAAAGGGCATAGTTGAATGTAAGACGAGCGGAGCTATGCTAAAATCTTTTTGTAGACCGACTAATACTCATAGGAAGGAGTCATTATGAGATATTGAATAAATATTTTATGAACAGAGGTCGCTTTCATTTATAGCGGAAAGAAGGAATGAAAACTTGTTTTATGGGGTTCTATAAGACAAGCCACCCCCACCCCCAACGTTTCGTTTCCTTATAGTAACAACGTATAAATACCAAAAGACAAAACCACTTGCTAATATGTCAAACCACTACTTTAAACTTTTCAACCGTGACAAAGTATAATAGTGAGATACAATCTTAGATATCATAACTCAGTACAAAAATAGAAAACATACTATCGAATTTCGGCCAAAGGCAAAAAAAAAAGTAGGTTTTACAATCTGTGAAGATCAACCGAAGAAATATTAGACTAGACTATTAATTTTAAACAAAACATCGTCTTTGAAGGTCATCAGTTGGAGGTCGTCAGCTAGTTTAATGTAATAGGAACCATACGTTTAGAATTGCGCTGAATATCGTCGACCTAGTGTACTAGAGAGACGTCAACTAGTTGAGAGAGAGAGAGAGAGAGAGAGAGAGAGAGAGATGGTTTAGCGTCAACTCGACACAAACTAGGTAATTTCGAGACTAACATGGTTTAATCTTTATTCCAATAATTCGCTTGCGCGTAGGGGTCTTTATCAGTGGAAGGAAACCGGGGAACCCGGAGAAGATTCATTCCTCAATGACGACCTTATAATACAACGCTCACGCGTTAATCATTCGGCCATCCAACCCCCATTTTATTTTAGAAATTTGGGTTTAGATTTGATTAAAACTAGCCTTCAATGTTGAACGGAAAATCGCAAGGTCAGGGGTATCATCACGATGTTGGCCGAGAACGTTTTCTGGAATTTTCCAGAGCTTATGTTTGTCAGTGGTGTAGGACAGAGGGCGTGAAGAGGAATAGAGAATAGTCGTTCGGGTGATACGAAAAATATTCGGCCGAATATATCAAACCTGTTTGATTCGGTGAATCATTCGGCCGATGACAGTGGACACACTAGGCGAATTTCGACGCCGATTGATTCAGCCGAATCATTCGGCTAGTGTGTCCACCGGTTTAGTTATCCCAGTTTGTGCAGAAAATGTGGGACGTCTTAATTGATTGTTGCTAATGACTTAAAATATCGGCTATTATATGGAAGACCAAACTGCTCTTTATTCAGTATTCTTAATTCTCATTTTTTTTTCATTTGGTGTCGTATTTCGACTTTTGTAAAACAATAATTGATTTGTAAAATAAAAATTAATTTGTAAATGTTAATTTTAAGATACAAATGTTGATTTTAAGATACATAAGATACAAATGTTAATTTTAAGATACAAATGTTAATTTTAAGATACGAATGTTGTAATACGACAACAAATGAAGAAATAAGAATTAAAGATGCTCTTGTGAATGTGTTTAAATCAATTTATTCTGACACTGCACCCAGTTATTTAAAAGAACTCTTTGATTTCTATACTCCCCGGCGATCGTTGCATATTTTGGATTCCTAAATATACCCTTCAAAAAAAAGTAGGGGATTTTCAGAAACAATACAAAACTGCGGAAATGCACTGCTGTTTTTATTAGAGGTAACCAGTGTATGTTAATATCAGGCCAATTGCCTACACATGAACATAAACAGTTCATATGGGCGGCTTATCTGATGGCCTCTTTCACTCGCAAAGAGATACACTGTCAAAAGTGAAAATGGACGTTTTTTTATTTTTGTCTTAATGATGAGTAACTGCTCCACCAATCCTCAGACATTCAGCAATTCGTCGTGGCACCTAATCAACCGTCCAATCACGATTTGGGGCAATCTGACTCACTCCTCTTGCAGTGCCACGGCCAATTCTTGCAGTGTTGTCGGTTGACGTTGACGTCGACGAACACGTCTCCCGATCAAATTAAACGTAAGAAATTAAAGCAAAGATACACTAAACAGTAAATCTTATGCAAGAACCGATAGGAAAGCAAACATGGACAGG